CCAACACTTATTGTTGTTTGACTTCATAATGGCTGCCAATCTTACAGGAGTGAAATGGTATCTTAGGGTGGTTTTGATTTGCATTTCTCTGATTGCTAGAGATGGTGAGCATTTTCTCATGTGCTTGTGGATTGATTGTATGAGGGACCAGCTTTAAATTTACATTCCAATTGGCCCAAGCCTGCATAGTTGTGACCAAGGCAGAAAACCTGTTGGATAGTCTGTTGACCACCATGATGCTCCACCCTCACATCTGACTGTCTGTAGGAGGGGCATGGCAGTAGCCCCACCACCAGTTCACTCACTGGGCTGGGGTTGTCCCCCAAGATGATGGCCAGTGCCTTCCCTGCAGTTGGGGGGGCCTCCCTCTATCCAGGTGGGCCAGGGCTGCAGCCTTGGGGGGCAGCTGCAGCTCCACTGAGAAGTGTGTCCTTTCTCTTCTACAAACCAAGGGTGGTTTGGGATTAGTGGTGTGCTCCACTCCAGTATGAGCTCTTGTTAACTAATTACATCTGCAATCACCCTATTTCCCAAGAAGGTCATATTCGGAGATCAGGCTCTTAACAAGTCTTTTCTGGGGGACACAATTCAACCCATAGCATTCATTAATCTCCAAGGGAATATATGTTCCTTCAGACTGCTGAAGCTTCTGGAGGCCGAATTATTACTTCTTCAGGACTCAGCACACTCAAGACATGCTTTTGCTTATTGGAGCAATTGACAGGCTTAGCCTTTCCAATTTTCACTGTCGAGGCAGGGCACCCTCTTTCCACATAGCCTTTAGCGGATATGGGGTGTCCTCTCTAAGTGAAGGTCAGTGAGGCAGCGACCTTTGAGCCAGGGATCATGGCTTGGTTTGGACGCTGTGTTAAGCATTCCATGTTATCAATCCCTTCGGTAACCCCGTTAAGTAGGTATTTATATATTTAATTCCTATTTTATAGATGAACACATTGGGCTTTCAAGAGGCGAAATAACAGCCAGAATTATTATTTCTAAAAATAGTAATGGGCGGCAGAAAGCCCCAGATGAAAAGTTCCCCATTCTTGGACTTCACGTTTTCCGAAGTACCCGGGATCTGGCTAATTCAGTCCATCTCTCGAGAAAACCAAATCTGGAACCTCAATTCTATTGATTCCGGGATGCGGTGCACACTCGAGTCCACACGCGGGGGCCCGCCAGCGCTCCTTTCTCCAGAAGCCGCACACAAAGCGGTTCCTTTCTGCGTTCGGGCGCGCGCGGCGTGAGGAGGGAACGCTGATTGGGTGAGCGCGGCCCCCGCTCCCGCCCCGGCGCCTGTCCCGGCGCGCTGATTGGCTGATCCGAGCTACCGCGGAGCCTGCCGCCCCGCGCGCCCCGCCCTGCGGGCTCGGAACTTGCATGGGGCGCCGCCGGTGGCCGAGGGAGCGTGACTGCGCTGCGCAGGGCGCTAGGAGGCATTGTCGCCGTAAGTGGAGCCGAAAGCGGTCCGGAATCGGGCCACACGCTTCGTGCCCCGCAAAGGAAACGTAGTATTGAAGCCAAGCGTTGAAGGGGCTGGGGGAGAGAGGGAGAGAAATACCCCGGTTTATGTTTCGTCCCCTCCCTGCCCCTCCCCCAGGTCACCCGGTGGAATAGAGCAGCGGCGCACCGGCAGCGGCTCCTGCGGTGCCAACCGGCCAGGAGGCGCCGGCTCTTGTTTGCACAAAGCGACTGCATCGCAGTAGCTCATGGGGAGTGGGTGCAACGCTACCAGGGAAAAGGGAACCTGGGGACGCGCTCCCGCACGGGCTTCCGTTCCCCTGGGGAGGCGCCTGAGCTGGGAGAGGTTACTGTGTATTTCGTCCCCAAGTGACAATTTCGGGGTTTGCTTCCGCCCTGGAGAGCTGCAGATGCCTGCTCTGGAGCTGCCTCTTGGCCCCACGGCCGCTGTGGGGATGCCTCAGTCCTTTGCTTTATTTTCTCCAGTCCCCGTCCGCCGGGCAAGCGGTGGGCCCGGGACCAGGAGTCACAGAGGGCATTCGGCTTAGGCGGGCCCCTGCCTGGCCAACAGTGCAGTCCTGGAAGGTGCAGTCCGAGGATGTCAAGAAGTCCATAAGGGAGCTCGCACAGGTCTCCTCAAATCCCGTGGCGCAAAAAACAAGGCGTCCCGTTCCCAGCCCAACAGGCTCTTTTCCCCCCCGGTGTGAAAGTGGGTCAACTCTGTACTGGCCTGAGTGGGCCTTTGGAGCTAGTGGGGTCCAAGCAAGTCCTCTGCCCTTCAACTCCCCACCCGTTCCCTAGCTTGGCACCATCGAGAGAACTGGCTAGAGCCATGCGTGGGAGCAGCTCGAAACACATGGCTGAGGAGGCTCAGGTTGTCATTCGGAGTGGCTGCCAGGCTATAAAATTCCCAATTGACCACACCAGTAACTAAATATAGGAGCAGCTGGTGCAGATGGGGGTGTCGCAATGGTTCCTTTGCAGAGTTCTTGGGACTGCAGAAAAGGTAAAGTTTTTGCTGGTAAGGGCTGAGTCAGAGGACCACTGTCAGGGTTTAAGTACACCCCACCCCACCCCCAGCTTTGAATTGAGATGAACCCAGGTTCTGATGTAGGCTAATAGCCAGTATTGCCAGTTCCCACAAAGTCAACGATTTTTTTTTTCTGGCATTCAATTTATTATATTCAAACTTCCTGTCTATACCTGTTTGATCATTGGAAATGCCTTCATGTGGGAAGTACTTCATGGTTTGTAAAGTCTTTTCTCCAAAGTGCTGTATCAGGTATTTTTTATAACCAGTTAAGGAAGGTGGTATTTCCATTTTGCAAATGGGGCTCCTTCACAGTCCTGGAAACTGTGCATGAATTATTCTGGTAACAGATGGGTGGTGGCCTGGCTCCCTCTCTCCTGCATCTCTTTGTGTAGCTGGTGCTCATATCTTGCCTTATGCCTTCATTGAGGTCCCTTGGGCCTGGCATCATAGCTGCAGCGGCATCTGGCTCATTCTGCCTCCTGGTGGGAAGTTTGTTCTGGCCCATACCCTGTCCCTGTCCTGTTACTTCTCAGTGTGTGCCTTAAAGAAGGTCCCCACAAGATGTTCATTGGATTTAAACATATCCTGGGACCATGGAGCCCACTCATAGGAAAGGGGAGTTGGGCGGTGTGGAGAGGACCATATGGGGACAGGAGCAGTGTGAGTGTGGGCTAAGACCCTATGTCCAGGGGTCTCTGGGGTTTGGAGTGCCTTTCTTGACATTGTCCAAAGCCCCTTCCAGTGCCTGGAACTGGTTGGGATTGGTAGTACCATCTATCTGGAACATTCCATGCCTAGGCTAAACCCATGTGTGCTGATGATTACTGTTTCTGTCCTTTGGGATGTTCTCTGACTCCTTGCTGTCACCACTCCCGCACGTGGGGATGACCAGATGCTTCAGGGAGCTCCACACTTGGGCCTATGGGGTGTCCTGGAGTCCTGTGGTTGGGTTCTGGTTCCAGGAGGGGCTGCCTTAAGTGCCAGTTGTTCAGATGGTGCTGACATGCAGATTGTAGGTTGTTGACTCAGATTATTTATCTAGACAGGGGCCCCCACAACCTAGGGGCAGCCTTGCTTAGGGGCTTTGCCCTCAGTCCAGAGTAGGCCCGCAGCTCTCTGCCACTTGCATGACTTGGACAATTTTCTGTGTTTGGCTCATCTTGTCCATGCCCTTTTGGAGTCCCAGAGGCCCAGTCCAGCTCCTCATTATCCCAAGTTTGTTCGTTTGGACCCCTCTGACCCTGAACTGGGCCCCGTAACATGGGATCCTGCCGCCCTTCCATCTGCAGCCCTGCCTCTCTCTGTCCTCTGGCTTTGGAGAGGGACTGCCCATGGACTTAATTCTCCCTTAACGGGGGACAAGGAAGTTTTAGGTGAAGGAAGGGTGATTCCTAGCCAAAGGTGGTGATTTTAAGCCCTTAATATTTTAAGTGATGATTTTAGATCCCCTTTGGAAATCTAGGGCACCTTTGTGCTGTGCTCAGAGCATGGTTTGGAATATTAGAAACCCTTCTTCCTAGTGAACTATTCTGACACTCAGACTTTACATGTTGATCCTGTTCAGGCATTTTTGTTCCCTCTGACCCACAACACTGGGCCTCAGAGCTTGCCACTCCTGGGACTTCCTCTGCTTCAGCCTCCCAAGTAGCTGGGATTACAGGCATGTGCCACATGCCCAGTTGAATGTGTATGTTTGTATGTGTGGGTATCTGTTGGTTTTTAAAAGCTCAAAAGCAACCCAGATGACTTGTGCTAAGTCATTAAGTGCTGTGGAAACTCACAGGGAAGAGAGAACACTGAGGGCTGGGGCAATCAGGGAAGACTTCCTGGAGGTGGAGAGATGGGAATTCTCATTCCTCAGAGATGACTTGCTCAGTTTCGCATGGGCAATGAGCTGGGATTAGATGCTGCTGCCATGAGTGCCCATGTGCTGCTTTATCCTCTCAACTGGAATTATGGAGTATCAGGTAGATCTATAGATTTTGTTCAATCGTGTTTAACTCAGCAAGGTGGGTATTACTAGACCTACTAGAAGAAACTGGGGCTCAGAGTGGTTAAAAAACTCTCCCAAGCTGTCTTAGCTACTAATGATGGAGTTGGACATTCTGCCTATCAAACAGGCTTTCCCCCTGCACCTGTGTGTCTCTGGCCTTCAGTGTCAGCCTCCCTGGTGAAACACACACATGCGGAACACCGTTGACTCTGCTGGGCAGGTAGATGGGCTTGGCCTTGCTTTTCCAGCTGAGCCCATGGGCACTGTTCTCGGTCTGCCAGCAGCTCTGAGCACTGGCTCCCTCCCTTTCTCCCTGCCTTTCCCGTCTGCCCTGGGAACAAGCTCCCTGGAATCCCTGAGTTATCTGGGAAGCTGGGATTGGGGCCTAGGGACAAAGACCTTGACCTCAAGTTCCTTCTCTCTTTGTGGGGTGCTGCTGTTATCAATATGGAGCAGGCCTGGTCATTGTCACTCACTCCCTTTGACCTTGTTCAGGCCACTTAGCCACTTCCTATGCCTTAGTTTCCTTCTCAGTAATAAACAGAGGGTTGAGGACATTTTTATATCTTCATACCTTATTATCTTATCTCCCTTACCCTTCTCAAAGGCGTCCTCCCTGGCGATCAGGTCCCCTTCTCTCCTTTCTAGCACCTCCCCCTTTTCTTGGAGATCAACCCAGCATCAGTCTGATAATCAGGTCTGCAGGCTGATGCTGTAACCTTCCCTTCCTGTTGGCACTTGGGGAGGCAATTTCTAGAGACCCATCCACCCGTCACACTGAGCTCCAATTTGCCTTGGAGTCGCCACCTCCTGCCGTGCACAGGGAGCCTGGCAGATGTGGGTGGGGTGAACAGGGGAGCTGGAGCAATTGTGCACAGAGAGCCCTGACTCAGAGGTCGCAGTATGGAGGGACAGGTGTCTTTCCCCTGCCCTTGGCTGTGTCCTGCCTCCTCCTTGGTGCCCCACCTGTTGAGTCACAGGCCAGTGCACATCTGAGTCCTTACACCCACCTGGCTACTGATGCAGGCCCGGCGGGCCCTCGTCTGATGAGGTCACACATGTTGATCCTCCCAGAGAAGCAGCAGGGCCCAGCTGCCCTCACCCTCTGACAGGCGCATCAGCTCTTCCAAAGGCTGAGCTGCCTGTGGCCTGGGTTCTGAGTTCCAGAGAGGAGGTAAGTGGCCTGAGGTCCCCTGTAGGCTTCCTGGCAGTCTGGGTTCCCGGGGAGGAGGTGCATGGGGCGAGCCCCAGCAGGATGGTGCTTCATAGCCCTGCATTTCCTCTAGGCACAGGCCCCTTTGTGAGCAGCACACCGGCCTGGGGGCTGGCAGCGGGACACCCCAGTCTGCATGCTGAAGAAGATGGGTGAGGCCGTGGCCAGAGTTGCACGGAAGGTCAACGAAACGGTGGAGAGCGGCTCTGACACTCTGGGTGAGTGGGGACAAGGCTTTTCCAGCTGACCTGTGGAGTTCAGTGTAGAGATGGTCTAGGAAGAGCTGAAGGGGTCAGTCTCAGGGGCGCCTTGTCAGGAGGGAGTCATGGATCTTTCCCTGTAGTGGTGGAACCGTGTTAGTCTGTTCATGCTGGGTCCCAGCCTACGACACATTTCTTACCATGGGTCATGGCCAAAGAGGTTTGAAAAATGCTAGAAAATGGGTCTGGGGCTGTGGTTGTGGCTCAGCGGTAGAGCGCTTGCCTAGCACATTCGAGGCGCTGGGTTCGATCCTCAGTACCACATAAAAATAAATAAATAAAATAAAGGTATTGCTGCCAACTACAACTAAAAAAAAAAAAAAAATAGTGCTAGAAAAACTGGATATGTACATACCAAAGGATAAAGCTGGACCTTACATCACACCATGTGCAAAAACTAATTCAAAA